GTCATTGCTCTACAGTTGCCATTCCCTTGAAATCTTGGGAATTCCTCAAGTCCAGCCACTGCTTTTAAAAATGTGAAAATCACGCTCAGCAGGAGTGAAGGATAATTTACAAGCAAATCCTCCTTTTTTTCAAACTTGAAAGTCTGTATTTCTTTTCTAGGAAGCAGAAGAATCATCCCTGCAGATTGCACTAGCATATGCCCTTAGAATCCCACTGACCCTCACCAGCAGGTGAAGTTGATCAGAGCTAAAACCACCAGCTGAAACCAGGCTTTGCAAAACTAACTTCCATTRTTCAGTCCAGGAGTCAACCAGAAAAAGTCTTGGAGCACAGAATGGCAGTTCAGGATAGGAAGGACACAGACTAGGACAGTTCAGCTCATGTACGTGCTCKGAGCAAGCACAGATGCAAACACTCCTGTTAAATCATTCAGCACAGGACTCAAAACAGAACAAAATGAAGTTTCTCATTAAATAGTTGCTGGAGTTTGGGAGCCTGAAGGTTGTTTTGGTCAAGGGGACCCTGTACCTTGCTCTTTAAGCACAATTTCTTACTGATATTCATATCAACTAAAATAATAATWAGGCATACTGCTGCAGCCTATCACGCCAGCACTTAGCACCATRTTCTGTCCCACACACAATATGCAACGCTGTACCACATTTTGTTAAATCCAACTAGCAAAGTTTCTTTCCTTTCTTTTTTTTTTAAACATAAAATGTATACATTACAGGAATACCCAGAACAAAGCCCCTAYGCAGCTGCGACACACACACAAAGTCACGTTCAGATGCACAGTAACTGCACCTCTCTGACACAAAAGGAGCAAGTACCTATATATAGTGCATGGAGCATTCTCTGACGGAGCTGCTCCTGCTGGGATGTGCCYCAGGGCCCAACCTTGCTCCTTACGCACCCAACTTTACTAACAGGAGCAGCTTTGCGGAACGAATCCGCAGAGCTCCCGCCGCACGCTCCGGTCCCCGCTCTCCCAGGGGAGCCCGGTGCCTTTTCCGCGTCGTGGGAGCTCCCTGAACATCCGAGTGCACCGGCTCCTCCTGAACGCGAGTGCTAAARGGATGCATTCCGAACAAAAGAAAAGTCCATTAGCAACTAACGTTGTAAAGAAAAAAGAACAAGCCTAAAGGTGGTTAAATGCTCGTTTTCCCGTGCACTCTCGCTCTGCATGGCAGCGCTTCACAGGAAATGAAGAAAGGGCAAACCAGCAGCAAGGAACTGGTGCTGGATAATAAAACACTCCATACGACAGTATACCCGGTGAAAACTGGAAACCTGAGAAAGACGAGGCTGCATATTCAGCAGCTGCTAACAACCCACTGAAGACGAACTGAAACGGTAAAAAAAGTTTTCAAAGCCCATGAAGCGTTTCTAAAGTTGGCTCCAGCTGAGCTGGGCACCGAAAAAGACACCGAGGATGGACAAAAGCACCCCGGCGCTTCCACCCCCGCTCCCGCTCCGTCTCGCTCACCTCCGGGGCTCGGGCTTGCGGCGCTCCTCCAGCTTGGCGGCGGGCGGGGGCTGCGGGGCAGCCGGGGCGGCGGGTGTGCGCTGCGGACGGGCTGCGGGCGGGCTCAGCGGGGCATGGCGGCGGCCCTACACCTGCCCCTCCGTGTCCGTGTCCCTGTCCGTGTCCGTGCGGGTGAGCGCCGGCGGCAGCCCGAGCGAGCGGCGCGGCTGTGCTGGCGGCGCCGGCCCGACCCGCATTTAAAGCCGCCGGCGAGCTCGGCCGTCCCCTCGCCCGCTCCCATCCCGGCCCGGCCCGTCCCGTCCCATCCCATCCCCGGCCGCCGCTCGGCGTCACGGGGCCCGGGGCGGGGAGCCCGGGGGAGGAGTCTGAGGCTCGGGGCTGCGGTTCCCCGCCCCGAGCTCCGAGCCCTGARCCGCGCCGGGACAGGTGCGGACTTCCACGGCCCGAGGGGGAGGACAGGGGCGGCCGCCGGGCCCTCCCTCACCCCCACCGTCTGCGAGTGGCCCTGGCCATGGTGATGACATCCCCCCGACCGGGAGATGCGTTCCCGTGGCACCGAGCTCCCCACGGCTGCTGGGAGCGTGTCCCACTCCCACGGCAGCTTCCCTGCCATGGAAATGCGTAACTCAGGGCACTCCTGGGCCAAAAGCACATAGGACTGAAAAAAAACCCAACCAAACAAAACAACCAAACAAAACCCAGCCCAACAAAACCCTCAAAAACATTAAAAACGCACCAACAACAGGAAAAATATAGAAACCATCATTTAGTCAGGTCATTATAATTTTCCAAGGAAATAGTACCTTACGTGTCGCTTCTCCTTAGCTTCGAGTAACGCAAGTTTCACCTTGCTTGCCTGCCTAGTCCTAGTTCCTGCTCTTTCTCCTACACTCACACTTCTGTGGACACTAAGCACCCTTGCAAAGGTTCCCTCCAGGCTGCTGCTGGACAAGAGAAGCAGTGCCAATATCCCATGTCTTGTTCAGTCAGCTGTAGCTCCGGTGCTCAGCTTGACTGTCCAGGCCAAGGTGACGAGATCCATAAAATATTTTTAAACCACGGAGCTCTGCGAACGGCTCACAAGAGACATGGCAGAACTGCAATCCATCATGGGAAATACATGGACTCCCAGGGGAACAAAAGAGGCTATTGTTGCCCCACAGGGGGAAAAACTCCCCTTCTTCAGCAAGGTTTATGATTACCACACAGCATCTGCCCCTTCAGCTGCTCCTCAGCTACCAAGCTCCACCTTTGTCACCCATCCAAACTCTGTATTAGGGAATAACATGCAATCCATTGGCCATGCAAAAAAAGTGGCAGCTACAGAAACCACAGCAGAGCAGAGTGAGAGCGCTGCAGAAGGATCTTCCTGCCAAATCCTCCTCTTCTTTGTGCTGCTACCCCTGTGCTGTCCCCAGATGCTGAGAACAGACGAGTGACTAAGTCGCTGTCCCCTCACCCTGTTTAATGTTTTCCTGAAAGACCTCAGAGCCACAGCCTGCACATGAATGGGTCAGGACTTCAGCTCCTCTGCTCCCTTTAATAAATCCTATTCTTTAAGAACCTGTTTTTCAACTGCCAGTGAGTTTCCAATGGACACAGTGGTGACTTTCATTACTCACAATTATATTTCATTTCAAATAATGACAATCCCTGTATTAACAAAAGCAGAACACCAAATCAGTTGAGAAGCTTAGTATACTCAAATCCTAACCCAAATAACCGTACATCTTCCCTCTTCCAAAGGTTCCAAAGAAAGGACAGCCCTCTCCATGCCCTAAATCCCTAATGGTGTACCATTTACACAGCACTTTCACTTTATTTTTAAATAAACTAGGGAACTCCYGAAGAAAAGACACATTAGCTACTTGAGAAAATTTCTGTTGCTTTTTGCTACATAGGTAACTCAAGGAGGTTTTGGGATCCCCTCAAGCACTGTGATCCCTCAATGAAAGCACCTCACAGGTGCTCCTCAGCAGCCAGCTCTTAGCTTGCTATTTCAGTAACAAACCTAAAAAACTCCCAGACCAATTCCAGTTCCTCACAATTCACTGTAACTTCAAATGCTGTCATTTTAAACCTGTGCATTGAATTTGCTGGCTAAAAAAATGTTTTGTCATCAGGATGCACGATTCCAAGTCAGTCTTTAAATAAAACATCGCTGCATTTAATCATCTAAAATGCTACCAGAGCCATTTCCAGAAGTCCCTAAATCAYGAGCCAGGGCAGTCATCTTGACCAAGTTTGAAAACGAGCACACTCTCTGTGCAGAGAAACACCCGAGTAAAATGCACTAATAATCCTTTCACTAATCATTGTGACTGACAAAATAAAACCCGCCGGCTAGAGCCGGCTTGTCCGACAATGTATATATGTAGCTTTTGGCATTGCTTACACACCTTGGCTTGCACATTCCCTCTTCAAGCCTCCCCAGCCATTTCCAATATTTTCACTGCTTGATTAAATAACCAGAGAGGAGCTCGTCACTCAGGACAACAGCCCGCTAGCTCTCCCCTCAGTGCTCAGGCCACAGAGAACCGGTTTGACTTGGGAAGGCTTTGTCTGACTGTTTGAACCTGCCTTTCAAGCGCACTGGCTGCAGCCCTGCTCACAAAGCCTTGGTGAGGAAAAGCTGGGCTGGCGGCCTTTGCCATCACCAACCTCCATCCCAGCCAAGGCAATGCCTCAACAGGACACAGGACAGGATGTCACCTTCACCCAAGTGCCTGCTGCTATACAAGAATTACTGGTCTGCCTTTCCATGCACACACATTTTCCTCACTCAGCTAACACAGGAACTCATTTTCCAGCGAGGTTGTGCAAGGTATCACTGTCTATGACAGTGTCTGACATGCGTATGGATAATGAGAGCAGGCAAATTTCTGATGGTAAAGATTAGAGAACATGCATGCGCATGCTCGGTGGAACTGGTAGGGTAAAACTTTCCCTGTGGGCAGGTTATTCCATAAATATATCTTGCAGCATTTCTGGTAGATTCCTTGGAAGCCTCTCGTGCTGACCACAGTGTTGTCAGTCAGAGGCGATGCTGAATGAGATGGAAACTGGCAGCTCCTGCACTTCCAGGGGTTTGTGCAGACTACCCAGTGATAAAATATTTGCTTTGGATTAAGTCAAGAGTTATTCAGCCTAAGTCAGGAAGTTTCAGAGGATAAAAAGATTTCAAGGGAAGGATCTAGGTGCAGAGAGACCGCAGCTGTACTTATCACAGAGGCTTTCAGTATCTTTTCCTCGGCTGGCAAACATCAGTGCCAAGTCATCGTGACATGCAGCTCACCCTTAGCACACCTGTGCACACAGGAAATCCTTTTCACAACAACAAAATCCCCCATACACGTTTTCAGGACTCAATTCTTGATCACAGCTATTCCTTTGGACCTTGAGGTGTCAGGGGTTTTTTGGTCTATTTTACATAGACATGGGTATTGCAGCCATTTTAGCTGCTGAACTCAACAAATTCCTGCACTGCATTCCTTAGTATTACAGCACAATTAGTACAATGGCACTGATTTCCAAGGGAACCACAAAAAGCAACTCTGTAGCTCTCAGATTTGTATTCAAGTCACCAAGAATCAGGCCTTGTCTGCCCTTTCCATCCACTTCTCAGGAAATCTCAGCAGAACACAGCATCTCAGCAAGCACTCCCTGGTAGCTGATTAGTAAATGCCCAAGGTGAGCAAACCCATTGCTTTTAGAAACTTGATTAGTAGGTCCTGCCTTTTCAAAAGTCCTGCCTCAGTTAGCAGTGAAAATAACCTGCCATGGGGTGCTGGTTCTGTAAGAGCACCTGCTCAGCCCTGCCTGTGAAACCACTGCGAGGCCCCTGGAGGAAAAACTGCCAAATTCCCACTGATTTCCCCTGCTCTGGCTCACCTTTTGGATGAGACAGTAACAGGGGGTGCTGAAAAACATTCAGCAGAGGTAAAACGGAACTGAATGCTGGAGGGTTAAGGGGTTTTTTGTGAAGTGCTTGATGTGCTTCCCATGAATAATGCACTATGTCTGCTTGAGAGCAATGAGCCGTCCTGGAGCACTTGGAGAGCCACTCAGGTCACAGCAATCCCTTCAGGGCTCAAGGAGAGGAGTCCTGGGGATTTCATGAGCTGGGGCACTCGCTTCTGGTGCCTCCCACTAATTCTGCTAGCTTCCAAAAGCACTGAAAGTACAGCATGTTCACCTCAAGAGCTTAGAGAACACAAGATGTGTTCCGCTCCTCTGGGAAGCAACACAGGTTTGCGCTTTGCCAAGAGACCTGTGAGAAAGGCTTGCCTGTCTCCCACCAACTTCCAGGACTGCATTCTTAGAACGCTTACATCTCCTTGCAAAAACATCCCTTATCATTCCAGCAAGAGCTGCTCCTCCAAGAGCACACCAAACGGCCACACCTTGCGCATCTCTCTCTGCCAGGAGCCCGGGAGCTGCTCGGGGCCAGGAGAGCGCAGGACAGGAGCGGGCGATGCTGCTCGGGGGCCCTCTGCTGGGAAGCACCCCCGTTTCCCAATTCCTGTCCCCTCTAGCAGCCCCAAATGCACAGGCAGCCCCAGGCACAGCCCCCCGAGGGGATGAGCTGCCGGTGTCCCCTTGGCAGTGAGCACGGGATGGCCCCAGGGAGCAACAGAGAAAGCAGATTTGATACGCCTCGACTTGCGTCCTGCTCTGTGCTACAGGGAGCGACGCCAAAGCAGCCTTTGGTCAGAGCCAAAAACACAGGCTTTGCTAAAATAAAGCAAGTGTGTTTGTTCCTACACCTACCAGAGCGCAGGATGCTGAAACACACGCTTCCACCACCTCCAACTGTTGGGACACTGGGACAGCAAATACTCCCCCTCTCTGGAAGGAGAGGGCTAAGGAAGCAGCCCAGCTGACTGAAGTACTATGCTCTCACACACATCATCTGCTCTCTGCTTCAGAGCGAGTGCACAAAGAAAGCAGAATGATTTTACCCTTTCACTTCTCAGGGTAGGAGGGAAATCCAAGGCTTAATTCAACCCCGTTGAGCACAAGGCTCATTGTATCCACATGAAAATGGAGTACAGACTTCATATGGGTGGGCTGCAAATGGGACAAGCAATATTTACATCAGGAGGATTTCTTCTTTTCACAGTTTCTCCCCCGTCATTTTGTTAAGTTTCTTTCTGTTCCTCATTCCTCAGCTATTGGCATTCCGGGCTAAAAAAAAACCCACCCAGAAAGCTCAGAGGGATGGACCAACAAGCCCT